TAGCCCGATGTTTATTCGTATAGTATTACAATATAGGGGTAAAAACTGGGGGACCATATCTCGGAAACTAGAGATGGTACCATCACCATTTTTTCATAGAAGTGGTATCTGACCCCTAGTACCCCATCCTCAAAATTTCAGACCCAAAGGTTATATTTAAATTTTGAATTGCGAACTGCGTTCTAGAACGCAGTTCACTTTTGAATTGCGAATTGCGAACTGCGAACTGCGTTCTAAAATCTGAACGCCTTGGTAAAGGTCGTTGTTCTAACCTTACATAAACACGATGTTGATAAAGTTCGTTGTTTCTGACCCTACGTATTGACCGTTTCTTGCTACCTTGCTGAAATTGAATTGTTTATTTTGGGATCACAACTTCCAGGTTAAATAAATAATTCAGATCAGCTAGATAGTGATCATCACTGTTTCTGTATTATTGCTTGTCTGACACTATGGAGTTATGCTCGCTGGGACGGAGATAGAACAGGGCACTTTAATAATCGCCCACAGACGGTGCATTACTCTTTGCAGAGCCTTTACAGCAATATATAGCTCTGGTCACTCTGTACTAAAAGCAAAATTAAACATGTATGGCTTAATGATACAGAGGGCCTTATTCCAAAAGACGTATCTTTTAAAAAGATAAGTGAGCTTGCACTTTAGCTATTATAAGACATAGAAATAGATTCACGAAACAGCTATTTTGCTGAATTTATCAGTTACTAATATAGGCCTAGGAATACAGTGATTTGGGGGTGGATGGTGAAGGGAAGGTCTCAATTATACAGAATAGTTAAACTTCTGAGCTTTTTATTGTCAATGGAATGCAATATGTCGTTTAATGATATTTTATTAATGAATTTGGGAATCTAATAATTTTAAGATATATGTAGATTCAGTTGCATCTTTTTGAATTATTCCAGTGTGGTACTACTTTGTATCTTTTGGACTTCTCGACAATCTCTAAAAAAAAAAAAAACTTTACATCAATAGATGTAATTTGTTGTTTAATATGATTTCGCCTCCCATCAATTTAAATATTGGCCAGAGTTGACTGTCTCGTCTGCGATGTATTTTAGGTTACATGTATATCTTACTTTGCATTCAATGTTAAGCTTCGGGTCTTCAAGAACGCCTCTGTTGAACAACCCGTGGTTGTATTATCAAGGATATCGAAAAGGCCGAGGAGAGCAGATAACTAAATATTTATGAACAGTTATACAAATGACTTACCTATGACGACTTGATATAACTTGACCTAGCTTACATGTATTTATAGTTTATACTTTTTTACAAGTTAGGCAACACAAACACACACACATACAAAAAGAAATATCAAAATAAATAAAATGTATTTTTTGATGATAATAATGCAAAACCAGAATCCCCTACCACGAATAGAACACATGTATTCCAAAAAATTGCTGGTGCTACAGGACACCCACAGGAAAATATTGGATCTAAAGTCTAATAATTGTTTGCAAGGGTTTTCTACCAATAAATTATAAAAGCAGAACTTTCTAAACTGAGAGAAGCGTACCGGTAGCATGAATAAAATCTAATTAAATTTAACATTTATTTGTTAATATCTCTTTGTTCAACTTCATTGATGAAATGTACATTTTGCTGACAAAAGCAAAGGGACGGGCGTTGTTTTATTATTCCCGCATTATTTAAATACTTGCTTGAATGTATTTAAAGAAGCTAATCAACCTGGAAAAATATTGTTTGCATACCGTTCTTGGTTCGATTTTTAGGTAAATTTGACGAGTGTCATTAATCAAACGGTGACACAAAGCCATTGTAATTAACATTTAGACCCTTTTTATGTTCCACAAAGTTTAAGGATCATGGTTTAACATTAGATACCACTCACTTATCCAAATTAAGATTTTTTTTTTGACACTTAATTGCTTAATCAACTAATGTAAGTGAAATAACATAGCTTTAAGATAAGTCTAATACAGGCTTTCATCTCGAGAGAATGTTATATGGTATTCTTGTAATGGATTTCCAATACATGCCCTAACATTGTGCAGGCGGTATAATGAAATAACAGAAAAAGAATCGAAATTAATATGGCAATATTCTCAGTAAAATATGCACAAACATCATTACGGTAAAGATTCCTCTCTACATTACAATGTGTCTCGTTTCACAATCAATCTTAATATTCCATAAGTGCAAATCATGCACATTTTATTTTTCAACTGCAGTGTTGCATTGATTTAGATTAACTATGTTTGCCTTCCTCTAAATCAATTAACAATTATTTATGACATTTTTTTTTTATTTTGTCACTCAGAATGAACAATGTCAGTCGTCCAGCACATTATATGATAAAGGGATTGTGGAAATGTTCAATGTATAATTTCATTTAGTCAATTTTACTTTCATAAAAATTTTTACAAAGACACATTGCAGTTAATGTTCTACCAAGCCTCTTTCTCCACACTCAGATATAAAGAGTAGTGAGGGAAAAAAATTCTGGATTACTTGTAACTATACATTCTAGCAGTAGTGTACGAGGGTTGTTCGTCAAGTTCGTGGACTAGAGCCATAAAATTAAAACCGCTTAAGATACATCAATGAATTTTTTAACGTTTATTTAGCATCATCTTTTTTATTTAATTAATAAACTATATATCATCATTTTTTGTAATGAATTGTTGTTTTTTTAAAGCAATGATATGTCCAGGCGGTGCAACCTCGAAGATTACGTTTTTTTTCTACCCAAGTGTGATTGAGAAAAAAAAATTTTATATGAGCATTTGTCATCCGAAAATGCCTTAATTCACTCATGCGGTATTACAATATTATACCGTAAAATGTGCAATTTTAGTCCCATTCTGTAAGTTTTATGAAATTTCATAGTTAATTTTATATGAAATGTCCAAAAAATTTATGTTTTGTAAAGACGTCAGAAAGGGGAATGGATTTTTTTTCTAACATGCTATGAAGGTTCACCCCCTGGAAAAAAACTGGCATATAGACATAGGAAATATTTGAATGGGCAATTGAAAAATAAAATGCATTCAAAGTACTTGTTTTTAAATACCGAAAAAGATAACTTTTGATTAAGTGGAGCTATGACTTTCATATTTCACATGTGCATTCCTTGTGACAAGACATTTCTTTTGGTACCACCAAATTTTACCTTTTGACCTTGACCTTGGAGTTTGACCTACTTTTACACAAAATTTTTAGATTTTTACTTTGGCTATAACTTTTGAACGGTAAATACTAGGGCTTTTGTATTTCACATAAGTATTTTTTGTGGCAAGACCTTTCATTGGATATCAACAACTTTGACCTTTTGACCCTGACCTTGGAGATTTCTGTACTTATAAGAAACTTTAACCTTGGTCATAACTTTAAAACGGTAAGGGCTAGGGCTTTCATACTTCAAATATGTAATCCTTGTGAGAAGTCCTTTCATAGGATATCAAAAACTTTGACCCTTGACCTTGGAGTTTGACCTACTTTTTAAAATTTTTAACCTTAGCCATAACTTTTGAAGGGTTTAATCCTTGTGACAAGACTTTTCATTGGATATCAAGCACTTAGACCCTTTGACCTTGGAGTTTGACCTACTTTTTAAATACTTTAACCTTGACCATAACTTTTGAATGGTTAGGGCTAGGGCTTTCATACTTCACATAAGTAATTCTTGCGAGAAGACCTTTCATTGACCCTTTTACTTTGACCTTGGAGCTTGACCTACTTTTTAAAATTTGGGTACCAATATATCTAATTTGCATTTAAGAAAAGTTTAATCTTCGCTTTGTTGCCATGCGGGGTCATCAGTATTTCACAAACGCGTCTTGTTTCTTTAAACTTTTGATTGAGGAGAGATAGGGCTTTCATATTTGACATGTGCATTTCCTATGACAAGATATTTTCGAGCTTGCTATGATTTCTGACTCCTTGACCTTGGCCTTCAAGACTGACCTTATTTTTTTAAAAATCAACTTTGCTGATAATTTCTAAATGACATATGATAGGGCGTTCATATTTGACATCTCACCCACAAAGACACCGAAAGCGGGGGGGGGGGCACAATTCTTTCAATTTGCTTGTTTAAAATGCACTTCCACTGAGCTTAGGTAACTTTTTTTTCAAAAGAATAGAATTAACAATGTATTATAGGTAATATGACTTTGACTTTAACAATACTACTTGTGCGTGCGCAATAGTAGTTGCAACATTTTCCAGATGTCTTAGTGTAATCAACTGTGATTGACAGCAGTCGATCATAAAAAGGTGAATACTAGATAGGTACATCTAAGGGAGACTTTAAAAGGCACAGTGCTTTTTCCAGCATAAGTGCTTAAGAAATGATTAATTTCACAGGACTACATCTTGATAATAATTTTGCGTGATCAGAAAGTACCACAGCTATCAGCGTGCCCTTTCCAGTAACGACAAGGAGATGGTTTTAAGTAGGTGTAATTACTAGCGAGAATCAGTCCTAATTGGCTCGGGCTCAAAAGACTTTCCTTGCTCAGAGACGTATATTAGTCTATAATCCTGTATAACGTTGATACAAAATAAAGACACGAGCCCTGAAAGTGAAATGAAAACGTGATTTATTAAATTCAGACTGGTTGACAATTGCTGCATTTGACTTGAATATATGTTGCTTTTAAATAAATAACAGAAAAAAGGTTTTTAATCATTCAGAGGTGATTGTATTCTTATGACCCTAATGTCCTGAAATCAAGAACTTGATTCTGATTTCGATATCATTTTGTTAAATCTTTACAGGAAAATATTTGATTTGCATTAAGGTCGACCAAAAACATGTGTCAAGTATAAGAAACATGTATCTGCTAGCTGATACAGTAAAATGTCCATTATACTCATATATTTTTGAAAATAAAATATAATGGACATAAGTATTTAATATCATAAATTAGATATGTCCGTCTGCACATTTAAAAATGCTTTGTATAATGGAAAATGCTTGTAATTATAGCATATCTATGTGTATATTGCAGCTGTCCTAGGGCATCAAGGAATATCAATTCAAGACATACACTCCTTTTTAGTAAAACTGGATCCCTACCACGAATTTGACCTTGTGCGTATTCCATCAACCTATCCGAAAATGACGTTTGACAACATTAGAAATGGTAAGTTTATCCAACATTTACCGTGTTTCTCTTCATTGTCCAAGCTTTTGTTTGTTATTTGTTTGTATGTATATCATTTGTATTAAAATAATTTGAAATTGTAGGTATCTTTATGCACCTTTTATCTCCTCACACCATTAACTTTTTCACTTAACATAACGAACAATCTGTTGAAAGTGTTATGATCAAACTGCATTATGAAAAGTTCATAATATAGCAACATTTTTGCTACAGTTTTCTTTAAAATCTGATAAAGGTCACCTTCGTAATCCAGTAATATATTGCCATCTGTTTTTGTCTGACGTTCGAATTTTGACGATCGTCTGTATAGCGTCAACCGTCAGTCGTACAAACAATGTCAACATTTTCAGCATTTTAAACCCATTTAATTTTTTAAAACTTAGTATATATAATATATGTGTAAAGGAAAATAAAATTGTGTAGATTAATAGTATCCACCTCCCTGACCAAGATTTAAATCTCTCCCATGCATCAAGCAGTTGAGCAGTTGGCATCATTATAATAGCAATACATCTTAATCCAAACCCATAAAGTTCACTGTAAAAAATAACTAGTTAATGTCACGAAGAAAACTAGTAGATTCACTGTCCATACAATCACTACTTTAATAGTAGTTTTACCAGATATTGGTATATTTACTAGATAAGATTAGTAAATTTAAAATTGATGAGTAATTTTCACTAGGTACATGTATCTAAGTATCTATACAACCCCCGCTCCACAACTCACTATCTTAACCAGTAAACTGAAAGTTTACTAATCACGTTACGAAACACACTAGTTACATGTAAATTCACTAGGTTTTTCTTACAGTGTTCAGAATTCCTGGGTTCAGTCCCAGGGTGACAATAAGCTGGTATTTAGTTGAGATAGCACCTTAAATTAGGAAATCTTTGTATTTTACCAGTTGATATCAATGTGACATGTTTTAATAAACAAGAAGCCCTTGATCAAAAGTGAAATTTATGACTTTATCGATCGTCTTTTATGATACACAAAGTTGTAGGTTATTGAAAATGAATTTTAATGTAACAGAAAATCTTCTTTACTCGTACAATTAAAGAGGTAGAAATTGTGCAGATTCTACAAGCTTAAAGCGGTTAATCTATGAAATTTATGATATTCAAGACAGAAACTTTTGGCTGTTAAGATGGACCTAACTTAGGCATATATTAGACGCAGTAATATTTAAAAGAAAATCGTCGAGACAACTGAATTAGAAATCAATATCCGATCACGATAAAAAGCACGAAGTCCTCTACCAAAATTTGAAATATCAACAGACATGTTTAAAGTCAACATTTTGCAAAATCTATGATCGATACAATGTCTTTGTCAGCAAAAATAATATGTCATTAAATCAAATGCGACTGACGATTTTTCCCATACAATTGTTAGATTATTATTTTTTCTTCTTTACGGATGTTTTGGCTTGCCCGATCATTGGAAGGATAAAACGGCGGGCGATACTGGTCGACAGGAAATGCTTAAATTTTCCATTATCATTTTGCTTATTATTTCATTGTTATCAATGACTTTCAAATTTCATTACTGTTTGTTATCATCATATTTAATGCCCACTGGGACAGGATTTACCCTCTCTCCCTCAAAATTGGAGTAGAAAAAAACAAAGAAATCCCAAACATCACAGGTGAGCTCGGGTAAATGGAGGACTGAGCATCCCCTGTCGACTGGTCACACCGCCGACAATTCCGTGTGTATCCGATGGACCGGAAATTACTATAGAAATGTCATTTGACTTAATGTTAAATTGCATTTGCTGAAAAGGTCGTACTATTGAGCATAGAACTCACAAAATGATGATTTTAAACGAGACTGCTGATGTTTCCGCAACTGGTTTGTCAATAATTTGCTTTGTTCTAGAAATTGTTCATATTAATACGTAAAGAATGCTCTCGCGTATCGAATTCATTTAGAGATATAAAACCCCCATGCAGGTGATAAAGGTATATTGATGCATAAGTAAGGGAAGTTGACGATTTAAAAGTTAAAGTCATTACGTTTTTCATAAAGCTTGGTTGTTAGATTACAATGTACCATTAACGTCTTTTACAAGTAAAATATCTAAATAGATGTATCAGACCCTGTTGTAAATGTATCTTCTATTTCAAGCTCACCGGAATATATTGTATCGACATAAAAATGGAAAGAAACACTGTTAATTGACAATACGTCGTCGATATATCTAAATGTCGACTTGAAGGCCACAGTAAGTATTTTCTTCCTTTCGCGTACAAGATTTTGGACAAATTCTGCTTTGTATGAATACAAAAATGGAATTGTTTACAGCGGGGTGCAATTGGTACAAATCGGAATTCCAATAGATTGTTGGAAGACATGGTCTCCAGAAACCACGTAGATATTGTCGATCAAATGCAAGCTAGTATCGTTTGATATCAACTTCAGAGTACTTGTGTGTACAATCAGAATGTTTGTTAAGAAATTAATTTTGCAAATGTCCAATGACAGGGTAAGTTAATTTACGAGTTCCATTTTATTTGAAAAAGCAGCTGTCATTGATATAAAAATGATTAAAAAATGACTCGACTTTAATTTATAGTTGAGGAGTAGATGTATGTAAAGTTGAATATTCGTAAGTTTTTATGTTGTTGATTTTAATAAAATGTTGTGATTTCAAATCTGAAAGTTCCTTTTTTTAAGTATCCACATCTTATTTACAACATTTCTTAAATAATTGCTGCACAGTATTTCCTGAAGTTTTGCCTTCACTTCTGTTAGTATTTTAGTGAGGAGAAAAGAAAGAGGCTTGGTAGAATATTTACTGGAACCCGCTATGTATCTGTATTCCTATGTAAGGAGTTTTGTGAAGTTTTGGAATCCAATATACGTACACTGAAAGAAAAACCTAGTGAATTCCTAAAGCGTGTAAGGAGTTTTGTGAAGTTTTGGAAAGTTACTTATATCAATTCTAAATTTACTAATCTTATCTAGTAAATATACCAATATCTGGTAAAACTACTTTTAAGGTATATTGTATGGACAGTAAATTTACTAGTTAACATTCATTCTGGTTGTTGGGAACATAAAAATATTTTTGAAGAATTCCCCCCTTAGAAGGGGAACTATGGATATAAGTTGAATTACCACTAGTAGAATTAAATCCCAGTTCCTCTTAACACCTGGTTTGTCAGTATATATCAGTACATACAGACCGTGTGATCTATCAATTCTGACTTACTGAACACAGAAGAATATTTCGTTTTCATTTTGCCCCTCAATTGCGATGTTTTAACATATATCTGATACACTTGTAATCCATACCGACAACGTTTCAAAGTCTTCTTTTTTGTGTTTTACTCATCACGTAGCGTAATCTTCAACAAAATCCATTATATTTATGAAATTATTAAGCCAGTAAAAAGATCATTTACTTTAAATGTAGGGTAATGAAGAACATGAACTGGAAGGAGGACTATGTTTTAGATATTCTATTTCGCGATATCTAGGTTTTGTATAAAGATTTCTTTTTGTTAAAAACTTTGGAGGCAATTTGTAGCAAATACATGGTTTAGTCTTCAATGTGAAATAAAGTGGAATACAAAACTAGATTCTTTTGTGATTAAGAGTATTTGGTAATATTAATGGCGTCAATTCCTTTATTGGCATATTGAAATTTAAGGAACAAACAGATTGTTTTAGTTGCATTTTCTTCTGTAAAACGTGAAGGTTTAAAAATCCTATGATTTGCAATATCTTTCACCATATTTCCGATCCTGTATTCTGGTGTTGAAGAATGAAAAAATGGTCTTACAATGTACTTTGACCTTTATAAGTAGAATGGAATTTGCTTTAAAAATATAGAAGTTAAAAAGGTTAGCTTTGATAATTGCCTCCAAAGAATGCGTAAAATTAGCTATTAGATTATCAAAAATGAGAAAGATGACCAAATCTATTCTGACCTTAAACTCCGTTATCATATCGTGGACGAAACCCAATGTAAAATACTTAATAATAAGAAATTACGGATCTGTAAAAATCCATTCCAAGCAGAAACTTTGAGAAAACATTGGAGCAGTCTAAGCAGGTCAAGCTATCATCATATTTATCCATTTCAATTCTTGCAAATATGAACAATTTGGTATTATGATTATTTGCCATGTACATTAAATGATTGAACATTGATTCTAGCAATTTGAGCGTAAGGAAAAAAATATTGAAATCATTAAATAAATTGTCTTCATCAAAAAGAACTGTTTTTATCTTAAGTCGTGGTTCTACTGAGTGACTTCAAGAATCTAGTTTTGTGAAGACAGCTAGATTACAAGGCAAATGAAGATCTGGAATTGATTTTGTCATCAAAGGAAGTTGGTTATCAGTTTGTCCTCGAGTTAAATGTCTTTGTGGCTAAATGAACCCATTTAGAAAAAAAGTACCCTATACCTCAACTCTTGTTATCAAAATGAATGGATAATTGTTCAAGTGAAATCAAGGAAACCTTAGATTATTTTCATTTTTCAATCAACAGGTACAGAAAAATTGAACTGAGTTTATAATTTTATATAATCATTTAATATTTTTGAAGTTCAATGAATTTTATCACTATCCTGTGTGTAAAAATAGAAAACTGATACATGCTTTTTATCAGTCATATTTAACTTTTGATAAGCTTTAGTCATCCAATTGTGTCAGGATTGATTTATCTTCGAACGAGGTCAATACTTTCCTGCAGAGAGATGTCAGGTTTAGAAAATTATCTTGTGAAAAACTTCCATTAATTGATTAGAAAAACAAAGGTAACAAGCATTATTTCATAGTTGTTTTCGATGGATAACAAACAGAAAAGGGAACATTAACGATAACGAACTGTATTCAAGTTCAAAAGTCCAAAAAACAATGCAAAATAGGAGTAGAGCAAACATGGACCTCCAAAACATTAGAGGTGGTCTCAGGTGCCATGTAGGAGTTAGCATCCTGACCGGTCACACCCGCCGCGGCGT